ACATGCTGCATAACAAGATAGAATGATAACACCTCTATCAGCTGATGCCAACAGGCAGGAACAGGGAGACAAAACACTGAGAGCACAGCAGCCAAGGTTACAGGTGCCTGTGCTCAGTCAGGACAGTTTGAACTGATACACTGGGTCAAAGTTATGGGCCTTGGAAAATATTCCACAACAATAAGTACATCAGGTTTCATAGAGCCAAAACATTTTAAGTGCTACTCAACTGGCTTTAGATAAGCCAGTCCTTTATTAGTATATAAGTGCTTTGTTAGTAATTCTATCGCTCGAAGTGGAGTCGAAAGAGATGAGTTTTCAGTCTGCGCCGGAAGATGTGTAAGCTTTCTGCTGTCCTGATTTCAATGGGGAGCTCATTCCACCATTTTGGAGCCAGAATAGCAAACCGACGTGTTTTGATTAATAATAATCAATAGTGATACATTTTTAAATAACTTCTGGGTTGCGGATGTGTGGGCAGGGAGGCAGAATGTATTGATAGCGAGGCAGTGTTTTTTTTCTCGCACCAATCATATTAGATTTATCACAGTTAATTGTCAGAAAGTTTTCATCCCTGCAGTGGTGATGAGTTTTAGGGAAATGTAGAGCAGGACATCATCTTCGTACTGTAGCAGTGGAACTGGAGTCCATGATAGCAAATTATGTTACGAAGTGGGAGGAGGTAGAAGATTAACAGGAAAGGACCAAGCACTGAACCCTGGGGGACGCCTGAGGAAAGGGATGCAAGTGAGGAGGTGCAGTTGATGTTGATGTGCTAGGTCATTGTCGAATTCAGGTTCAATTTCTGGTTCTGGTGGCTGGAATGCCAGGGTATGAAGACATGGCCACTTCAAAAACGTATGATAATTCAATCACATTGCACTCTCTCCTCCATTTGTTTGACCTAATTTCAGTTGCAGTCAACCACTCTAACAATTAACACCATATACTTTATTTAAATTCTAAGCTGTTTATTTGCTTTCAACCTGACATTATTTAGCTTAGTTGCACACATTTTAGCTCTGTCAACACATGTATTTAATGTATAAACCATTTTCTTTGGACTTGAGTTACCATCGTTGTTTCGGGGGAGGTTCCTTCCTGGTGCAGCAAAAGGTCTCAGGGCTGAGGACTCCTAAATACTGGAAGCAGTCAATTGGGCCAAATTGGGTCAAACCAGTATTTGGGATTTGCCTGTGTCCTTTGTATGGTCTGTTCATCTTAATTACAGCTTGTTTGCTTTTTGGTTTGGCCAAACCACTGTATATGTTCCGTTTTGAGTCATTGCGAGAGGTCTGTGTTTTCAGTTCATATCTGATTAGTTGCTGCCATGTATTAGAATAATTTTCTGTAGACCTCTTTATAGGCCTAGTTATTTAAGATTCTTGGAATATATGTTTTTTTGTATTTTGTGGTAAATGCAAATTGCATAAGGTCAGAGCAAGTTGAGATCAGAATCAGAAATCCTTTATTTGTCCGCAAAGGGGACATTTTCATTATTACAACAGCAGATAGTGCAGATAAAGTGAGGAAAAATGTGTGCAAATTGGTGCATATCTAATCGCCGTGCATCATGCAAAGATTGTTGGTGATTTATTATGCGCAGGCCTGGATCGTTGTGTGGAGAGCAACAGCTTTCAAGAAACTGTCATGATCCATTATCTTTTGTCTGATGACGATTAAGCTCTAAATTAGCTCTAACATTTGCATTCAGAAACCACTGGCTACACCAGTGTAGCGTGAATCACACAAGTAGACGGCTCCGACCCCTCAGAGCAACGGCTAACTTCTAAATAGAAGATCAAAGAGAATATTCCCCAGTTGTATTACTTAATGTCCTGCTCTGCACTGAGAACAATGCAGAAGACGGTGTAAAACAACAGGGAGCTTTTCCATTAAGTCCATAAAACCCATGTGACTTAGGGCTTCGCTGACCTTAACACAAATACTTCTCTTCCTTCTCCAGACGGCTGTCTGAGGAGACTTTGAAAAATGTAAATGCAGGCCTCTGTCTTCTGCAATTGACACATATTTTGAGTAACTTTAACATGTTATTCTATATTTCCTTGGTTTGCAGATATATACAAATACATCCTGATGTATGAGAATTGTATAATGTCATGTTGCCTCAATTGTGATTGTAGTTGTGTTATTTGTTTAAATGAAGTTACAGTGTAAATAAGGTAATTTTAATTTGATGTGTATTGTGTTTAGTCTTTCTCAACAGCTAAAACATTGCATATTTCAGATATGGGAGTGTTAGATATTTTAAACAGTTACTATTTATTTCATATATATAGTTTCATTTTAGGAGAACTCGCTGACCCTTCTCCTTCCCCCTTCATCCCAAAGATCCCCATGGAGGTTCTTTACTCAGCTTAGTTCTTACTTTAAGTAACATTCTTAAGTCTTAAAAGACTTTCCTTCAACAGACTCTTAGTGCTGACTACACGAAACGCGCTTTAAAGACTTTGAAATAATTCCCCGCTGATAACCCATGTGCTCTGTGGAGCTGAGGACAACAGCGCAACCGCATCGCCAGTTTCTGGGCTCTGATGTGTCGTCCCGCGGTTGAGGAACTGCTGGACTGTGGTCACGAGACGCAAGGTCCAACGCCACCGACAGAACCAGCCCCAGACTGTGCGAGACGCTGCGAGGGATGAAGTCTCAGTCCAGACCGGACTGCATCTGACCCAAGGCTGCTTCGCCAGGTCCGAATCCCCCCCCCCCCCCCCCCCCTCCCGGCTGCTTGCCTCTTCAGAACCCCACGCCCCGCTCATCGATTACGCTACAAAAATACGCGGCTGGTCTATTTTTGACGGAGACGCGAGGCATTGCATAGCGTCGGGCAGGAAGTGGAACGGCCAGAGCATCCGGTCAATCCCCAAAATAAACTCATTTTGCAGACCCTATCCCTCCGTAGTCTTTCCAGTAGGAAAATAAATGCCAGCGTTCTCCTCCGGTTTACAGGCACTGTGTAAATTATATATATAGAATAGTTATGATGATGAATACATTTTTTTACCACTACTATACAGCAACACATCTTTGATTCATGTCGTTTTATTACAATTATTATTAACTTTGTCTGTACAAAGTAGCCTAGTTACTTTCTTTTAGAAGTAGAAATGTCCAGGAAACATGCCCAAATCAACAAAAACTGCGAGCCGGCACGCAAGACGCTCCACTTCTGAAAAGCGCTCGGTGGAGTTTGATGCTGTAGGTCGGAACCAAACCGTGGCGCAGACGGAACGCGGCGCAGACTCACCTGGTGGAATCCAGGCGTAAGGCGAGATGTGATACGTATACTTGGGGTTATGCTCATTTGTAGTTATTTAATTCAGGTTAGATTAGGGTTTAAAACTCCCAAAATAGTTTCCTGCATCTTTCAGCTGTTAAAGAGTGTTTCAAGTATACTTTTCAGTATTTACCAACCATCTGATTTACTCTCCATATATATTGTGTGACCTTCCATTCTTCCATTTGCCATTCATATTATTTGTGTGATTTATGTTTTTCTTTAGTGTTGTATATTCTTGGCAGTTAATAAATGTTTAATTTATAAAGAACCAATTTATGTGTTTTTGTGTGTGATGTAAATCAGCCTCTGTTCACAGTCAACTCCGATTTTCAGATTATGAGACTGCAATAATTGATTATGCTATCATATTTTCTCTCTTATTAGAGAGTGGTGCCCCAACCTTGTTAAACGTTATATAACATATTTTATTAAAAGTAAACTTTGAGTTGATAGCTAAAGTAAAGTGCTGGCACTTAACATACATAATTAATGAATACATCTGCACAAGTAATATATACACTGTAAGCAATTGCTGTTAATTTACAGCCAATTTTCAACACTAATCTACTGTATTCATGTAATAAGGTTTTGTACTGTAGTTAGCAATGCATTTTGGGCTGGCCAATGTGAAGCAGCAGCACAGGGACCCTAAACAGTATGCTAATGTTTTAAAGTACAGTACACAACAGTATTTTTTGGAAATTGGCGGTAATATTGGGGCTGGATAAGAAACGTCATTAGGAGAGCCGCTTTTCCAGAGAAGGACCCATTTCGGAGGACATGTGCGGATCAATAAGAAGTCCTGCATCATCTGTATCGATCGGGTTGTGCATCTACAAATTCGACGGTGATTAAAAACCATCTTATTTTCCAGTAGGCTATAGCCTACTATTCATTCTAGCATTACTTCAAAACATTTTTTTAATTAAACTGATGCTCAGCCAGCCAGCTGTCTAAAGTTAGCTAGGGAGTGTGTGATTTTAAAATGTCACTTATGAGGCCTCTTTGAATAGCTCAAACATTTATATTTCCTTGCATTTCAGAGTCATCGTGTTTTATCAAATGCTAACCGTTTTGGATCATCTGTGCATTTTCTTAAGATTGGTTAGCGGTTGTTGTTGCTAGCTAGCTAGCTGATATCTTTGCCCCTTGTTAATAGCTGCAAATGCGACGAAAAAACACTAAACAATCTTGACGGTTGGGATAAGTAGAAAGGTGGTTTTGAGAGGAGAGCAAGCTGATGTTAATGTGTGTTAGTGTTTATTGATTTATTTCAATGTTGATTTCATAGCCAACTTGGTTTATTATAAATTTCAGCACGAAGATTGATACAGGTGGTACAGAAAAGCAGCCAGTAATTAATTATACTGGGCTTCTTGTTGACATATTTTAGCCTAATCAACATGAATGCATAATATGTTTCATTATGCCTTTGGTTAGTGTCTTTGTCTGTTCTCTACAGGTGTCTGCCACCACAGCTGACGTTGAGACAACCCTCACTCTACCTGCAAGTCCTCGTCTGATACTGCTTGGTATGCATTTCATCGATAGACATTATATATCAGATTGGCCATTGTTCTTTGAGTTTACAGATTTTTACGAAGGTGAGATGCATTCTGATGTTGCTATTACTTTAAGTTTCAGGTGGAACCGGGCAAGTCACTACTGGACGATGGATGATCACCCTTGAGGGCCGTGTCATATCTGAGGGCATCACACCAACCTTTTTGACGGGACTTGTTGCTGTCTTTGCGATCTAATATATATTCAACCTGCAGTATCAGGAAGAGGCAGCCTGTACTCTGGAATTCATTCAGAGGTAAGACTCCTTTCATTTCCTTGTAATCATTATGTTTTTTTATTTACAATTTAAAATCTTTGAAACCTGAATAACCACAAATCATTACTTTGCTCACTTAAAGGGATAGTTTGGATTTTTTGACACAGACATTAACTCAGACAGGCAGTCAGAAATGTCCCTGCCAGCTGGTCAATTGTTAGGCAAAAATGCAGAACATGGGGTCAGGTAAAAAAATGTCAAGCCTCAAAAAAACAAAACATGAACCATTCACATGAGAATACAACATATATTGAGTAATTCTGCTGCTTGAACTCTCTATATCTTGAAATTATTTTCTTTATTAATTATGTGTATTACTATTCAGTGTATTTTTTTGTATATTCCCATATCAAGCCGCCGATAATCTTGAATAGAGGCGTAATATGTGAACTGGCTCCAGTGCGTAGTAATACACTGGAATTTTCAACATATGAAATAGTTCCAAGATATAGAAGGGTCTGATAGGAAAAATCAAGCAGCGGAATTACACTATACCTCATTATGTCAGTACCGGTTAATAACTCATATCACATTATGGAATAAAACCCAAACTACCCCTTTAAGAAAACAAAGTGTTCCTAATAGTTTTCCATTCAGTCTCTGATCTTAAAACATTTCTGATTTCAGGCGCTTCATTGGTATCAACCCAGAGAGAGGAACAAAGGCCGTCCGGGGCAAGGTTGTCTCCAAGAAGATGGCTGTGATCGTCCAGAAGAAGTCTGCCACAGTCAACACACACGTCTCCACACCACTGAAGAACCTCCTTGACTTTGAATGGGACTTCATATAGGTCAGTGAGCTCTCTCTCGTCTCTCACTCTCTCACTCCATGTGTTGTTTTGACAGACTGACGTTGCCACATTATGCCACTAGACACTTTGGCATTACCAGCTTTATAAGCATTGTTATTGTACATTCCCGATTCTAGAGTTATTTTTGATTCATTATTTTTGTTTGTTGCTGTTTTACAGTGGCAACACTGGTAAGGAGAGGAACAAGGACCAGCAAGGTGTTGGTCATCCCTATCTGAAACAGAAGATTCCTCTTTGTATCAGAACTGTCCACACCCACCCAGAATCTTCTTGAAGTTAAGCATACACCTATCTCATATTACTGTCCATGAACTTACATTATAATAAAGATTATTGTGTTACCTGATATCTGCCTGCTCCTCGTGTGTGTGGGTTGATTGGGGGATTAAAGAACTGGGTGCCAGCAAGTGGGCCATTACATAGAGGGCTCACTCGCAACATATATTTTCAAATTGGCCTTGATGCAAATTTTAAAAAATGTCTTACTGATGTATATTTTCAAAATGGTCTTAATGCACATTTAAAAAATGTTCTTAATAGTACCGTTTGTTTTCTAAATGTTGCTTATAATGCATTTGTTCAAAAATGTCCTTACTGATTTTTTTTTGTTACAGTAGCGGTATTTATGTTGACTCTGCCAATTTAAATAAAAGTGTGTTTGCATTAAATCCTTTCCAAATTGTTTATTACTTATTTTGCATAATTTTCATAATAATGCATATTTTAAGCAGATGTATGTAGCAGAAACAATACATATTTAATGTTAATTTAATTAATAATGACTTTTTAGATATTCTAAACTGCTAAATTGAGTTGTTGTATTATCAATCAATCTACTGGCAACCCCCTAACCAGAATGTTACAGTGAATTATTACATTTTTTACTGTAATAAACTGAAATTGTTCAACAGTATGAATACTGTATAATTTCAGTATATTGTTGGCGTCTCTGCTGCCAGTATTTTACTGTTAATTGAAAAAATACAGCAGTATATTTAATTTTTACAGTAAGAGGCTGTAAAGTCATTTCACAGTATGAGTACTGTAGTATTACAGTAAAGTACAGGCCAGCACTTTACTGTTATTTGACAGGAACATTTGTTACAGTGTACTAAATATGTTGCCCGAGTGCAAGGCCCATCCATGCTACCAGAACCCAACAAATACAGAGGATGCTAAAGCATCATCAGACTGATAGTTCCGTGATTGGGGTTTGCAGACAGGGATAACGAGCCGGACCGGGGAACATTTGACATGTGATTCAAATGTGAAATCATATACAAATGTTTAAACAAACAAAATGTTCAATGTGTTTTTTTTATTGCTTTTTTGTGCAATCGCACCTTAAATCTCAATGAAATGTACCATTAGAACATATAATATCTTTGATCAACAATAAGAACAACATTGTAAATACTGTTTCACTTCTAATTTCCCCTGTTTTTCTCTTAAGGCACGCAATAGATTGTTTAACATTATGCGCTGCCAATAAGATTCATGTTTTCCTATACTGTTTTTTTAAAGAAATACAAAAATAACCTGCCATCTCTTGTCTTGTTTTGTTGACAACATTTTTATATTTTTGGTTATATTGTGCAAACCATCTTCTTTTAACCTTTTACTAATAGATGTATTGCACAATATGATTTGAGTCTTTAAATAATACTGTGGACAGATCCAAATCAACTGGTTCAGTTATTTTTGACATCTTTCAAATCATGCAATCTGGACCATTTTTTTTTTTTTTGTATTGTGTTCTGCTAATCCCTAGATTTTAAGGTCCCCTATTATGCTAAATGCACTCTTTGATGTCTTTTATACATAAATATGTGTCCCCGGTGTGTAAGGAGACTCACAAGGTGTCAGAAAATAAAACCCTCTCTCTTTTCCTCCTTACCCACATCTCTAAAAACAGGGGTACAGCGGAGCTGATCCAGATTTGCTGCAGACTTGACGTTGTAAGGGAAACTTCTGTAGCAATGGAGAATCAGGACTCAGAGAGACACGGGACGACCAGAAGTTCTGATGTCAAACACTGGCAGTTTATTACAAGCATCGGCCGGAGAATTCATATCACAAGTCACAGCAGCCAAAGGTTCTGACAGCACGGGTGCGTTGTCATGTCAATTCTGATCACCCTCTCCTCTTGGCAGACCTTTTAACTAGCTTCACTAAGAGTCAACCCACATATTGGGGGAAGGTGTACGTGACCACCTGGAGGCACTGAATCACTTATTTGACTCTATGGCTCTTGTGACCGAGAGTTGACCGGTCATAAAACTCATAATGTCAGCAATAGGTGAAACTTCCCATTCCTTAAGACAGATAACAGACTTCGGCTTCGTCGTAAATGTCAACAGGCCGAAAGGTCAAATATCTTAAGTAAAGACAAAATTAATCCCTCACAGACGTCATATCGGAAAATCAATCAATCAATGTTTATTTATATAGCCCTATTTCACAAATGTTACATTTGTCTCAGTGGACTTCACAGTTTGTACAGAATATCAGTATGAGAATACGACACCCTTTGTCCTTGGACCCTCACATCGTACAAGGAAAAACTTCCAGAGAAACCCCACAGTTTAAAGGGAAAAATGGGAGAAACCTCAGGGAGAGCAACAGAGGAGGGATCCCTCTCCCAGGACGGACAGACGTGCAATAGATGCCGTGTGTAAATTGAAAAGATAATACATTTACAACATAGGTAGTCAGTAGTTATAAGATGCAGGTTTGTGTCCGATTTTGATTTATGACCTGATAAGGAATGATTTATGACCCTAAAACCGGAAGTCCCACCTCCCAAACCGGAGGTCCCGCCCCCAAAAACCGGCAAAAATCCCTATGAAGTGGCACCTGTCACTCTGAAATCAGACCTTTGATCCTCTTATCTATTCTGACCTTTGACCCCCTTATCTTTTATGACTTGTTTGTGCGAACATTGCCCTAAAGCGGCAGATAAGCCCCTTTGATGTGAATCTTGTTAATATCTTACTAGGTCACCTTTGAACCCCCCTTATCTTTTATGACTTGTTTGTGCAAATGTTGCCCCATAGCGGCTGATAAGCCCTTTGATGTGACCCTGTTAATATCTTACTAGGTCATGATCGATCAATGATAAACTAGATATAGCCCTGATAAGGATATGGCGCAACAGGGGATGATAAGACTTGACATCAACATGTAAGACTTGATCAGCCCTTTGATGTGAACCCTGTTAATATCTTACTAGGTCATGATCGGTCAATGATCTTACTAGGTCATGATCGGTCAATGATCAACTAAATAGTATAGCCTGCTATAAGATGGCCTGCTATAAGATAGTGTTCTTTAATAATATGACATAGCGAGACTTTTACAGTATATCAGATCATATGACACTTTATTGTTTAATTACTTTATTAACTATAAGGAAACCCCTTTGAAGTTGTGTTCCCCTGGATGATGGAAATAGTCTAAGTGCCATGTTAGGGGGACATTATGGAGCTCATGAGTCCGCCCTTCAAGGCTCTTGAAGCGGATAAAGAGAGGTGTATTTACCGGTATGTTTCCCATGATGATGTAAATCAGGGATGGGCAACTTTGATGATGGTGGGGGCCAAGTAATGTATGTACTGGCCACCAGGGGGCCGCAGATTCACTTGGAACACACAAAAACACAAAATCCATGTATTGTAATTATTAACAAATATACTAAGTCTGACATCTTCATTGATATGTTTAGATCTTTAAGGGAACATCCTCTAATAAGCTCACAAAACAAACATCAGTTCACTGAAATGTTATTTAATTTTTACAAGTGGCATGTTTGTATTGAACAGGTTATTTAACAGTGGAATACAACTTTTAAACTATTGGAAAGTGTGCATTAAGATTACACAGTAGCATGACATAAACATGAAGTCAGATCCACCATATTCGCTGACAACACCCTTCACTGCGTCGAAAATGTCCGATCCCTTTGTTGTGCCGTGCAGTGGTAAGTTTTAATAGTTCCTCGTGTACATAAAATGACGCATTTATTGATCTGGCGTACACCAGTAGCTGGCTAACATTGGTAACGTCTGTACTCTCATCTAACGCTAACGAAAAGTATTAACAGTCAGACATGATTTGTTTCAGCTTTCCCTCCACATGACTTTGAATGTCAAAAATCCTGCGAGTCACTGTGCGTCGGGAGAGGGACACCATTTCAAAATGTTTAGCCATTTTTTCATCTCCAAAGGCATTAGCCATCTCAATCGCGCATGTTTTCACCAACTCTCCTTCTGATAGTGGCTTCTTTGCTTTGGCAAGCTGGAGTGAGACAGCATATGATGCTTTCAGACTTGATTCTTGGACACTTGTGACCTGGGTGAAAAAGCACTGTTGTTTTTGTACTTTCCCTTTCAGGTCCGGTAGGATCGCTGCTCTGGCGGCCCCGGTGTACCTGTCATATTTGTCCTTGTGTGAAATGTTTTAGTGGCAGCTCAAGTTGCTTACTTTCATGACAGCAACGATCTGCAAACATATTAAACATTGTGGTTTACCCCTGAATTCAGTGAAAAGATACTCTTTCTCCCACTCTCTCGTTTTGCCAAATTCAAATTCTTGGAAAACACGATTTTCCTCAAATATCTTTCTCTTGCTCATGTTGACATCCACATAGAGCTGTGTTCATATGTTACCCGCTCTATCGAAATCAGTCGGAAGTCGCAACGGCTCATCTCAAAATAAAAGTGGATTTGTGTAAAAAAACTAGTTTTTCGGGGTTCGTTACAGTTTGTTTTCATTTGATTTCAAATAAATACAGTCTTGACTTTTAGAATATTAAACTTGCTTTGCCAAATTCATGATAAATAGAACTTTGAAGCTTGTAACGGCATAATTACAAGCGGAGAACGGAGTAATTTAACGTCACAGCAGGCATAACGACAGCCGGTGTTTCTTGTGAGTGTTTTCCCTGGGAAACAAACACAATACACACAAACTAGGGCTGTCAAGTTAACGCGTTAATAACGCGTTAACGCAAAAAAAAATTAACGCCACTAATTATTTTAACGCGATTAACACATGTGTATTTTTTTTCCTCGGCCGCCCCGTAGTTTCAGAGCGCATCGAGTTTAAAATACCATCTACAAGCTGATGCTGACAGCCCCGCTCCTGCTGCCCGCTTGCTGCAGACCACACTTCCACGCTCACCGGCAGGCACCGACTGGCCATCGGGAGGACCGGGAGAGACCTTACGTGTATTGTTTTTGTTAGCATCTAGTGCTAGCTAGCTGCACTAACGGATATAAGGAGCTGTTTAAATGAA